TCCTCTCCCCCAGCCAGTACGTGGACGTGGCCTCCTTGGGCCTCGTGCCTCAGCTCACGGGAGGGACCCTTTACAAGTACAACAACTTCCAGGTAAGGCAGCCACGTGTTCCCCGGGATTTCTGCGGCCTTTCAGTCTGATGCCCGGGCCCGGCAGAGGAGCTCAGAGCCATGGGTGCTCCCCTCCCCCGGCCCACCCACCCCCAGGCCCGAGTGTCTGCGACACTGAGCTCAGGCGGCCGGGAGCTGAACACCCGCGGTGGGAAAATACACTTGAAATAAGACCTTTCTGTTCTGTGTGTTTAGACAGTTAGAGAAGTAACAGCATATTTGTTCTAAATTGTTACCATTTGGGGGTCAGTTCATGACCCCGTCCCTCCTGAGAGTGGAGAGGAGCCGGGCACAGGTGAGCACAGCACGCGCTTCTCCTGGGGACACGGGGCCCTGGAAACGGGCCATATCGAGGGCAGAATGTGCCGCCGCCTCCCCAGGAGGGTGCAAAGAGGCGCTGCTGTGCCCACGGCTCCTCCCCCCAAACTTACTAATCACATCAGCCCCTGCCCCACCTGACAGAGGGTCAGGGCCTCTGACTTACGTCCCTGCACCTGGGAACGTGGAGTGGGCGCCAGCGTCCCCAGCGTAGCGACAGATGTTAGTCACTGTCTGCTTTTATTTATCATCAATGGTTACCTTAAATCACCTACCCCTATTAATATCATGAACTAGTTAAAGGACTCGGTGAGACCAAAGACTGAGCATGAAATAAAGTTGGAAAAGTTTTAAGAGCCTTAGTCAGTTTGGCTCAATGGATAGAGCCTGTGGGCTAAAGGGTCCCGGGTTCGATCTGGTCAAGGGCACGTGCCCGGGTTGCGGGCTCAATCCCCAGTAGAGGGGTGCAGCAGGCAGCCGATCAATGCTTCTCTCTCATCATGGGTATTTCTATCTCTCTCCCTCTCCCTTCCTCTCTGAAATCAATAAAAATAAATTTTTTAAAAAAGCTTTAAGAACCCTTTCTAGGGTTTCTGGATAAAGTAGGTTTGAATTAAGATTTGAGAAATGAGTTGCTGTGCCTCCCTGCCATCTGGTGGCACGGCTCTTGCTTCCTCTTCTCAGATGCACTTGGACAGCCCGCAGTTTCTGAGTGACCTCAGGAACGACGTTGAGAAGAAGATCGGCTTCGACGCGATCATGCGGGTGCGCACGAGCACAGGTATTGTCCTTCAGCGGGCTTCGGGTCTCGGTGGTCGGTTGTTTCCTCTGTACGTCCTGACAGGCCAGCGAGGAGAACGGCGACATACGGAGAAGCCACGTCTCCTCTCCCTCGTCCTCAGGTTTCCGAGCCACTGACTTCTTCGGCGGGATCGTCATGAACAACACGACCGACGTGGAGATGGCGGCCATCGACTGCGACAAGGCGGTGACGGTGGAGTTCAGGCACGACGACAAGCTCAGTGAGGACAGCGGGGCCTTGATCCAGGTGCCAGCTCCTCCCAGCGCGTCCGCCTCCATCCCGCAGGGCGGCGGGACAGGCCCTCGCGGGTCTCGGGTCTCGGGCCCGCTCTTTCCCCAGAGGCAGGGGCTGTGGGACAGGCCCTCGCGGGTCTCGGCCCGCTCTTTCCCCAGAGGCAGAGGCGGCAGGTAGCACCTCCCCTGCTCCGCACTCCGATGCTCCCGTTGTCTGTATCTGTAGCAACTGCGTCGCTGCCTGAGAGCCCACGGACCGTGGTCAGTGTCAAGGCATCAGCAGGCCAGGCCAGGACTCGTTCTCGGGTCAGCACCGCCACCCAGGTCCCTGGCCTCGGCCGTACGCCAGGCGCCGGGTTCTGAGCAAGCATAAGTGGGACTGGGCGTGGGGGTCAGCAAGACCAACTAGACGCCCTGGAGGCACGCTCAGGGTCCTCGTTTGCACCCCAGCGTCACCCTCAGAGACGGGGAGAGGCTGCCCGTGTGAGGAGGAGCTCCCTGACGTTTGCGCTAAACCACAGGCCTCAGGGAAAGGGTGCTGCTCGCCGGCCCCATGGGCTTGAGCGTCCAGCGCATGTTTCTGAGGGAAGGGGGTGCGGAGGCCGCGGGATGAGGCGCATGTCTCTGAGGGAAGGGGGTGCGGAGGCTCAGGTTTCTGAGGGAAGGGGGTGCAGAGGCCGCGGGATGAGGCGTGGCTTCCCCCGTCCCTGCTGTGAGATCTGAGCCGGGGAAGGAGGGGAGATTCAGGCCGGCAGCTCCCTGTGCAGCCGATATCAGGGTGGGCTTCTCCCCAAAGCCCTGCAGGCAGCCCAGGGCGTGGGCACCGGCCGTTCCTCTGGGGGCCGTAGAGGAAACCTGGGGGGAGGAGAGGGCTGGCAGCCACAGTCTCACCCGAGGCCAGGCTGGGGGTGCGTGCTCATGACCTCCCTGTCCCTCTGCAGTGCGCCGTGCTCTACACCACCATCGGCGGGCAGCGGAGGCTGCGCATCCACAACCTGGCCCTGAGCTGCAGCGCGCAGCTGGCCGACCTCTACAAGAGCTGCGAGACGGACGCCCTCATCAACTTCTTCGCCAAGTCAGGTGAGCTTTCTGCGCCTCGCCCAGGCCAGGGCCCTCCGGACCCCCCGGATTCCCCGGCTACCGAATCCGTGGCTGCTGAAGGCCCGCGTGTGGATGCACCGATGGCGGCGTGCTGGCATACAACCTGCACACACCCCTGTAGACCTGAGTCCCCTCGGGGGACCGTCCAGAGGCCCCATCCAGTGCAGATGCCGTAGGACAGCCCTGCTGCCTTGCTAGGCAGTGAGGACGAGGATGGCCCTGTGCCCCGGCCTCGCTGGCCAGACTACACAGGACATGCCAGCAACTGCATCGCTTTTTTTAAGTTTTCCATCCACGGTTGGTTGAATCCGCAGGCAGCGGTGACCAGTCAGCCTGGTGGCTAGTGCAGTCGTAGTGACAGGTGCTGTGCTGGTGCAGCCTCTGTGGGTCAACGCAGGATTTATAAGCACAAGGGGGGGTGGGGGGGGGCGACCAGCCAGCATCAGTGAGATGGCCCTGACACACTGATCGCCGTGCAAACCATGGGGACTGCGAAACGCAGAGGCCGGGGGTCAGCGCCCCCCGCCCCCCCAATCCCAGTGGAGACGCTGACCAGGGTTTAGAAGAAACAGCCTCCAGCCGCAGGAACCAGGGTGTCCGCAGGCGCCTCCTCTCTGGGTGCAGAGTTCCGCGTTGCGTCCTGGGGAAGTCGGACGTCCCGGCCTCTTGCTGTGGTCGTGTTCTCCCTGCGGGCGTCACGCTGCGTCAGGAGGCGCTAGCGAAGGGGCTGGCACTTCATGGGCTGCTCGTCCCTGTCTGGTCTGCGGGGACGGCAGTTGGTGGTTTCTGTCCCTGTGAAGGGATCGTTTCTGGGCTAAACGCACCCTCGCTCTGTTTGTGCCGACAGCTTTCAAGGCAGTTCTGCACCAGCCCCTGAAGCTCATCCGGGAGATCCTGGTCAACCAGACCTCGCACATGCTGGCGTGTTACCGCAAGAAC